AGGCTCGAGGGGTATTGTCATCGCCTAGGGCGTCCGTCTGTCTGTCCGTCGGCCGGCTGTCTGTCTGTCCGTTGTTCGAGGTACCCCGCAAGTGAAATCTTTAGAAAATAGGGTACCCCGCAAGTGGAATCTTTAGAAATAGGGACAATGGGACAACAATGAAGGTACCCCGGAAGTCCATCTGGCTGGAACGTCCGTCCGTCCGGGCACCTTAGTTTCAGGATGATAACTTGAGTTAGCAATGTTGTTTGGGATTGTAACTTCGGTAGGGGGTTTCCCTTAGAAGTAGGCAAGTTTGGATTGGTTTTGAGGTCAAAACGTCAAATTTCAAGGTCACCGTGGTGAGTTAAAGGTAAATGGTTTCCGGGATGATAACTTGAGTTAGAAATTAGATTTTGGTGTCTAACTTTGGTAGGGGGTTGCCCTTGGGTACAGGCAAGTTGGGATTGGTTTGGGGGTCACATGGTCAAAGGTCAAGGTCACTGTAGTGAGTTAAAGGTAAATGGTTTCCGGATGATAACTTGAGTTAGAAACTTGGGCCAGAAAGGCAAGATGGAATTGGTGTTGGGGTCAAAAGGTCAAAGGTGAAGGTCACCGTGGCTGAGGGGTTTCAACAGCAAAGCTGTCATGTTGTTGCTTATCTTGTACCTTGGCCCCATAAATGTGGCCAATTTACTGGCCTACCTCCGTAAATAAAGGCGACACTTGGAACATGCTGTACAAAAACATGTCAAACTTAGTCAAATTTTGATTTTCACATTTAGGCTTAGTTTGTAGTTTATTTTGCTTTAGAAGCATACTCACCCTCTTTATAGGCTAATCAGAAAGTACTGCCTTTTTCAGATGTCTCTTTTTTCGTGAAATTTCGTGTTGAAAATTCGATTCGCAAACATGTGCAAATGAATCTGGAAATTTCACGAAAAATAGACATCTGAAAAAGGCGGCACTTTCTGATTAGCCTATAAAGAGGGTGAGTATGCTTCTAAAGCAAAAATAAACTACAAACTTATAAGCCTAAATGTGAAAATCAAAATTTGACAAAGTTCTACATGTTTTTGTAAACGTTCCAAGTGTGGCCTTTATTTACGGAGGTAGGCCAGTAAATTGGCCACATTTATGGGGCTACTTGTACCTCAGAGATTAAACTTTTCTGAGAACTGTAAGGAATATGTTGACAAAGTTTTTAAGAAAGATTTGTAGGCAAATGTGTGGCCAATGAAGTGAATTTTTACATGTCACCACATGTTGACGTAGAGGAGGCCCTTAACCGACGCGGTAAAAACATGCAGTGAAGGGCAAAACCTAATTTGATGCAGTGACATGTAAAAACTCACTAAGGGGCCATTCAGAATTTTCAGTGTTTTAAAATTTCGACTATTTTTCCAAATTGTGGGTGGGTGGGCCAAAGCTAAATATATAAAAATAAAAATTCACTTTTCATGGGAAAAAAAACGAAAAAAAAAAAAAAAAAAAAAGAAAAAAGAAAATCTTTTGACTTTTGTTTGTTGTTGAAAAGTTGCAAAGAGACAGCTTTTGCTTCTGCCCAGCACTCAGCAGCAATGGATTTTTTTCCGAAAGGACGCGCAACACATGTTTGTTTTTTAATACTGCGTAACAAATCAGTTTTTATAAATCGACATTAGGGGTGGGTAAGTGGGTCAAAATAATTTGGAAAAAAAATCGAAATTTTAAAACATTGAAAATTCTGAATGGCCCCTAAGTTGGCCACACATTCACCTACAAATCTCTCTTAAAGGGAATATACAACATTTGCAAACATCGAAAAATAAAACTACCAAGTTTTTGCGAAATACCTTAATAGGATGTTGGTAAATGACAGTCTAAAGCATCCTGTAAAATTATGGCACCTGGTATACTGTCATTTTCAAGAAAAGTGGTATTTTTGTATCAATTTCCAACGCTGATCGGCCGATCAGCGTTGGAAACAACTGGCTTTTTTTTCAAATACTGGCCCCAATTGACCATTGTACTTGTTTGCAATCGATTACAAACCTATGAACGGGTACGAGCCAGCTAGACTGGTTCCCTGACCTTACAATTCCCCAATGTATGTAAACTGCTCTGTTTCTTCTTATATGGAGTCAGGGAACCAGACTACAGGAAAATGATCGTTTTTCTTGGTTTTTATAGCATTTTCGAACCCAAAACCTCCAAAAAGTCAGTGCAACTATATTTGCTTTATATTTCCAACCCCCCAATTCCATCCATTTCTGAAAATTACAGCAAAAGCAAATGATGTATATTCCCTTTAACATGCTTAACCCTAACTCCCTAGGAGGGTGTGCAAAATTATATTGAAATTGGAGGATTCAGGACTATTAGGGCTATAGACTTTGTCAACTTATGTTTGACTGTCACCTCCAGATTATCTTCCCTTAAACTAGACACGCGCAGTGCTTGCCTAATTGTATTTTGCCGCCAATTCATAAACGCGTATAATAAATCTTACATGTGCGAATTCGTTTGGCAGACACATTGTCCCTGGTCCCGCGTCCCTGGCTGCGATTTCGAAAGCATTGGACAACGCGAACCAGTGACTGTGAAAAGTGCCTTGTCACAGGTCGTAGCCTTCCGCTAAGCTATTTTCATAAAAATAGAACATACTTTGCCTACTTTGGGGTAGATTTTTTTTATTCTTACGGTAATGTTTGTTGTTTTGAAGTTTGCATTTTTAGCCGAAACAATAGGCCTATTATTCAAAACTGCCCAAAAGAGTCACTTTAAGTTTAAGGGGAAAAATCCAAGTTCTGTGCTTGACTTTTGTTAAGACTCGGCTGTCTAAATTTCCTACACATTTGCCTGAAAATTAATATACGTCAGACCTCGTTTTTTTTTTCCATTTTAAAGTTAAACACAAATTAAACAGTTTTCAACTGCACCAAACTCAGAAGTACCTTTGCCCCTACAATTATTATACAGTCACTTCAAAAGGGGAAAGGGGAAATTATTATGTTTTTTAGGCCAAAAATGCCGGGTAAACTTACTTGACTCCTGTCTCTCTCACTCAGTTGCTCTATACGAATGCGTGAAAAAAACACATGGTCCCTGGTCCCTCTATTATCAAAAGCATCTTGCGCCGCGAACCAGTTATTTTGGAAACCGCCTAGCTAGCTGCCTCATCACTGAGAATTTCCGCGAAGTGATTTGCTTAAACAACGCTACGATTTCATTTATGAAACAGCTTTAATGGCATTCAACAAGGTGATTTGCATTTAAAATGTTTTCGTAAAATGTAAGCATAACCCAGAAATATTCTTTCTTTTTTATATTTCTTTTGGAGAAATAAAATGTCAACTTTAGTAAAATCTCACAAGTTGGTTATTGTCTATTTTTCGAGTCAACAGTTCTGTGGACAAGCCCGGTGGTCCAGTGGTTATGACGTCTGCACGGCTCAGCAAGACGTCGTGGGTTCGAGTCCCACCGAAGCACACGCTTACAATTATTTTTTTCCCTGAAGTTCTCGGACCGCACTGAGCACACATATCTTATATATACTTTGTTGGTGAAGGGCAAACCTCATATTAAAATTACATTTGATAGCTTTGATATTTTTTTAAATGTTTTTTCTTTTCTTTCTGGATTTTTTAATAAAAGATATTTAGACCACATGCAGTGATGGGTGGATGGCCGCCCCCATATTTCGAATCAGGGTGACCGTTTTAGCCGATTTTCGGCTAACTTTGACAGAATTTTTGTAAGAGTTTGACAAAAAACAGAATGGATTATTTTGGCATATTTCTGGCAGAATACTGCACAAATTGTTATTTGATAGAAAAACAAAAAATTTGAACAAAAAATGGTGTTTTAAAAAAGCTTCAATCCTTTCAAACAAATCCTTGCATAAAGGGACAGGTTGGCTGGTCTAGGTGCCGAGGTTCACTGGGAAATGGACTTCTTCGTGGCCAGGTCCGCGTTTTGCCCGAAATTTACGTGATAATTCATATCTTTATGATAATATAGATTATTTATAATGTAATTTGAACCTTAATTTAGGCAAAAGTACCACTCTGCATGTGATTTTAAGTGTTTATAGTGTATTTCGAGTAATTCTGGGGAATTTGGCAGATTTTTGATCATCTGACAGATTTTGTATGTGCATTTAGCAGAATTTGGCTCTGACCTTGGTAACAATTTAGGGCGTAGCGACTCAAATATCATATTTCAATTGCTTTATCATGCAAATCAAGTTGGTTATTCTCGCTTCTCTGATTGGTGCTTTAGTGCAGGTGAAACTCAAACAGGTGTTTTAGGGTGAAGACTATTGAACTATTGGGATTTTTTTTTAATTTCTCAATGGAATTGACGGATCAAATTACTAATGAATCATAAACTCTGTTTGGAACATTAATCAAATTCTAAAAGAACTTTCCGATGTGATATTGGTCCCCATATCTTACAACTTGTTTTCTTTTACACTATCATCCTAAAGACTAATAACTTAAAAGTCTTGTGGATATTTTCCTTGTAGATGCCCAACAACTGAATAAAAAAAGACATGAACATGCTGGAGGGTTAAAAGTTAAAACTTTAAAAAAATTAATTATAGAATTGGAAACAGTGTTAGATCTAAAATCACTAAAATCTGTATGCACCTGTATTGGAGAAAGATCTATTAAATGGGATAACCAACACACATTTTTCTTTTCTTGTGATAACAAATGCATCCTGTATTGTTTTGTTTTTCAGTCTACTATTGTACTAATTTCCATGTTTGTTCTGCTATCAGTCTGTGTCCCACTCAAAAGCAAAAACAATTTCACTTTTCTTTTCAAGTTCGAGGAAATATTAGTTATTTTCAGGATGTGAAATGCAGGAAATGACGTGGAAACTAAACGTTTTCTTCCATTTTGAAAATTAGTCGCTGTTTATCTTCAATTAACTGTTTCAGATTCTCTTTTCTTTTTAATATTTACTTTAATTATATTAGTCGTGTGAAGTGTCAGGTTAAAGCACACTGAAAATGGAGAGATAAACGGTACACGTTGTCACACAAAATGAAGGCTGAGCCAATATTTTAATTCACTTCTGGGGAACATGATATACAAATGTATCCAATAAAACTATTTCTATTTGTTTTGACCGTGGTTTTTAATGTTATACTTGTGATGGTCTTGTGTTGGACTAGACTGCAATGTTAATACTGCCTCAGGAGAAATGTCATCTTCAGCAGCCTTATCTTGTGCTTCCATGATGACATTTGTGTCTTCCTGCACGAACATAACTAATTTATCGTCTGGTATCTGATGGACCTCGTTTAAGACCTCATCCCCGTCACTCACACCATGTGATTGTATCTGGTCAGGGGCACTGTCTACCCGAACACCTGCAATTTTGAATTGGAAAGAAAGAGAAAAGAATTTCTACTTCAATTCATATTCATTTGCTCATCCCTGCACAGATTAGAGGTGTGTGCACATCACTTGAATTTAGAATATTAAAATCTCCCTTGCAATTTATGAGTTTTACCGCAAAAGAAAAAGCCTATTTTCTGAGGTTTGACAACGTTGAAAAGATCAAATAAGTGTTCCATTGAAAACACACAAATTGAAACTTTGTTAGGAGAAAAAAATCTGTTGATGGGCACAAGTCAGGCAAGTTCAATGCAAAAACTGCAGTGTCACACATTCGAATAAAATTTGTGCGCAAATGTAATGAGTCCCTCATTGGCCATAATCAGTGGTCAACACAAGTGCTATAAATTCTATTTTGAATATTTGACCATCGACATTGAGGTACATTTTTTTTTTTATAATCATCACGTATCAGAATTTTTTTCTCAGAGATTAGCAGATTTGCTGACTCGAGTCATGTGACTTGGACTCGAGTCGGACTCGAGTCGCTATTTTTGTGACTTGTGACTTGACTTGTAAATACCAGCTTTGACTTGTGACTTGACTTGGACTTGCAAACAATGACTTGTGACTTGACTTGGGATTGCAAAAGATGACTTGTTACCAACCCAAGTCAGATGCTACTCGAGCGACCCAATACACTTTAATTAAGCTATTATACTTTTAATTAGCTATTCGGTTTACGCCTTACATGCATTAAAAAAACAGACTTTGGCTTGCGCGGTTTCTACTTTGCCCAGCTGCAGCTGTAGATCATATTAGTACGCGCGCGTGAGTGAAATAAATAGTGACCTCAATATGTCATGATTGACCAGCAAGCATGGCGGCTTCTAGCGGTGTTGTTCCACAGGTGGTGAGTTTTGCACGTGTATTCAGTCATGGAGGAATAATTATGAGGCCACACAGCGCAAAGTTGAGTGATACTATGCTATAAAATGTTGTTTATTTGAAGTGTAACAGTTTGTACATGAAAAAAAAAAAAAATTTTAAATTGAAGTCGCCCAACACAAGGCCCAAAAAGGCCGCTCAAGGGGTGCGTTTTGGCGGTCATAACCAAGAATTGGTTCGGTAGTTTCTTGTCAGTGAATTTCTTCGGCAATTTTAATTGGGTTAGAATTACACATGATCATGTAGTACTCAAATCCCCAAAACAATTAATCAAAGAGAAACCACCGAACCAATTCTTGGTTATGACCGCCAAAACGCACCCCTGGTGTTTATAATATAAATGCAGTTTATAGATGCAGCGAAAAAGTTTCATTCCAGAAAATAGACCTCAGTGACTGAATCCAGTAAAATGAATAGTTCCCACTAGTTTAAAAAGTTTTCAACAAAACTGTCATAACAAACTACAGTTTTCAATGACCAATTGTCTCTTGCTTAATTTATTGGTTGAACAAACTTTGAAAGGAACCTTTCATGAAAAGAAAGCAGGCCTTTGTCAATTGCATGTAAAATACCGGATAGCCTAACCCATTGGTAGGCGTTTAGTATACATGAAAATTGAACAATAAAGTGTTAGTATACTACATGTAATCGAGTGAGGAAGTCTTTTTTTCACGGTCATCTCAACATTTATTTCTACAATGTAAAGTAAATTTAATAAAGTATACAAAGGGCTAATATCCGACAGATATGTGATTAACTACAAGAATAGTAATTGCAACACATTGAAAAAGGGGAATTAAGGATGCATGTTCAAAATAACTTGTAAGTTCACGCCAGGTTAATTCTGTTAGCTTATTACAGCTGGACGTCTCTCCAGACCTAGGTGTAGTGGCCCCTGAGACTTCCCTGCTACTCACCTCATCCAGGATGTCAGGAGGCACCAGGGAATACTTCTGGCTGAATGGAACCATGTTCTCCTGGAGCAGCTCCCGCAGCTTCTCATGCTGGTAAGGGGAGATGTTCTCTAAAGGGTTGGTCTCATCTCCCTGGCTCATTCTGATGGTCGGGTCGGGCAGGGCAAAGTTGCTCTCCTGAGCCGTGTCCTGATCCGAGGTAGCCGACATCGCACTCCCGTTGTCCTCAATCGATTCCTCGGTGATGTGCCTATTGACCAACGTGGAGGTGCCTGAAGACGACGAGCTGATGGCCTGCCCAAATGTCATCCCTTGTCCTGGGCTGGAGGAGAGGGAGTTGGCAGCGCTGAAGTACTCGGTGGACGAATCGCTCCGATCATACGAGTCTCTTTCGACTTCTTTTGTCTTTTCTTGTACCTACAGTATAATTACGAAAAATTAAAGGGACGCTACAAGAGATTTTTTTGGGGGGGGGGGGTTGGGATGGGGGGTTGGGTTGGGATGGGGTGGGGCTTTACAACTTCCTGTAAAATTTAGTATTCTTTTGATTCTTTATGGAAACTTAAAATTCACTCACTTACATGGGAAACAGTTGGAGATTGGTGGCCAACCTTGCGTCGTTTGTGCTCTCTCTTCTTGGCCGACGCGGAGGGATGGTTGCTGGACGGTCTGGTACCTGACGTTCTCTCCTGGGAGGACACTGAGGATTCCCTGCCTGTACCAAGTAAGATATATAATAGAATCTGAGTTTCCTCGTACCGTCAGTGACACCACGGACTTTGTATTCTGTTATGGGATACCTCAAGTATGCCAGCTTCATTGTAGCAGCTGCTTTTTGAAATAATGGGCATATTGATAGACATATAATTAAGGTTCTGATGGATGTACTAAAAAATGTGCACAAATCCAGGAATGTCAACAGATGAGAATCAAAACAAATGAACACATTTCTACTGGGTTCTTTTGAAGGGGTCTTGGTAGATACATGTCAGATACCTGAGACAGCTGCTGAGTCTGCTTTGTCGGTCATACATTTTCTTTTCTTTGGTGATTCCTTGTTGTTTAAGTACATAAAAGTAAGCCAATGAGCAAACGTTCCTAACAAATGTTTTTACCCGACTCTTCGTCTTTCCTTCTCTTAGATTCATGGCCTCCTTCTCGCTCCCCCTCTGAATGGTCTCGTTTCTTCTCCGCAGTCTTCTTGTCTTTGTCCCGTCGGCTTTCCCGGTCTCTCTCACTACGATCATACGAATCTCTTTCGACTTCTTTCGTCTTTTCTTGTACCTACAGTATAATTACGAAAAATTAAAGGGACGCTACAAGAGATTTTTTGGGGGGGTTGGGGTTGGGATGGGGGAGCACTTGAGGCATTGAAACATGGCCTTCTGATGAGTGTAAATGGACAGCAGTAAGTACCCCCTCAGTAGTTTAAATGATGCAGAGATCCTATACTAAAGGACATTATGTGGATAAATAGAAATAAAGGCCACAAACATTGAAAAATGATGCAAAACTGGGAAAACAGTCATCAGGGAGAATATGGATTCACTCATTTATAAAAAAAAAATTTCGATCAAAAATTCAGAACTAAGTTCCAAAAATTATCCCCAAAACCAAAAACCATCTAAAAAAAATTTCGATCAAAAATTCAGAACAAAGTTCCAAAAATTTTCCCCAAAACCAAAAACCATCTGAAAGGACGTTCTTGGACAAAGATACTTGTGACTTGACTTGTTTTTAGACCAAATGACTTGTGACTTGACTTGTGACTGGACCTAATGACTTGTGACTGGACCTAATGACTTGTGAACTGACTTGGACTTACAAACAATGACTTGTGACTTGACTTGGACTTGCAAAAAATGACTTGCTGCCACCTCTGAAAGGCACACATCTTTGGCATCTTCATCTGCACGTGATGATGCAGCTGGTAAATGTTTAACTGTCAATGCTGCCACAATGAACACGTGATCAAAAAGATGTGTCCATTGAGTGTATCTGTATTGAGCACAATTTCCAACGCGTTTGCTCATTTTGAGAAGTGGATGGATTGAGCTTTTGGATTGACATGTATAACCACCTCACTTTGTTTTTTGTTTTTTCTAACTGAAAAAAATTGTGCATTAATTTGCTTGTAACTTCCCTTCTAAGTCGATGGCATATAAATTGCTTTTACAGTTCATGGAATATGATTCAACTTGAAAATTCCCACCAAAAAAACCCCCAAAACGCTGCCCTATACATGTTTCAACGACACTCTTGTTGGTTCTAAATGTTGCTAACTTAACCTTGGTAAGAACTATTGCCGATGAAAAAAAACAGGTTCAAGTATATAATCGGTAAGCATGCACATTTCTTAAACACTCATGTAGGCCTACCGGTACATGTACACACCATTTGTTTATGGTGTATATCGAGGATTCACCCACTGCGTATTTTGAGTGATCCAAAGTTATTAGGGTCGGGGATTAGTCTGGGAGACCATCGCAAGTCTTTGAATGTATTCAAAGTCCGACTCCTGATGCTCATGCGCGAAGACACTGTGGCTTGCCTTTGTGCACATTCAGGATTTAAAAAGTTGTGCGTACTTTGCTCACGAATTACATGTACAGTACGTACACGTTGAATATATATCAACTAAAGAATAATAAAAAAATAAAATACTTATTTCACTTACCACGACTTCCTCGCCTCCTTCCTCCTCCTCTGGCTGAAAGTAAATAACAAAATGAGAAATATAGATATTTAACTAGAGGTTCGGGTTTGTCGAGCTACAAACACAGAGTGGTCGGGCGAACAGCCTTTTCATTATGCACTGCCCAGTTGAGGAATATGTTGATGTAGTTCTAACAAAGAATCACGAAATTAAATCCCATCCAGTACAATCAATTATTTTGTTACAAAAATGAATTTTTAACTGTGTGATAAACTTCAGTAAACATTCTATGTGTGGAAAAAAAGTTATTTCTGGTTTGATAACGTCATCAGTCAAAAACAGTAGGTCAATACTGATAAAATTCGGAGAGGACAAGTTATCATTGTGATTAGTTAAAATAATGTATGAAAATATGACTTGTTTGAGAGACTAATTGTCGTGGAAGTTCAAGTTCTACAGCAGCTGAGGGACATGTTCAGTGCAGTCGATGAAACCCCTCTCAGAGATATGAATAGATGAACCCAGGGCCAGGGACATGCTGAATGGCATATGGACTCTTTTTGCCAGCATATGTAGCATTTTGTTTTTTCCTTGCAATTCCAAAATGAGAAAGATATCAAATAACACCACTGATTCACAACATGATGGACGCCTTGTCTAGAAAAAAGCCAATTGTAAAAGTATCCATTCAAATTGTGTCTGTTAATCCTAGGGTTCTCATATTTACTTGGCCTTGAAAGAGGGTCAGTGGGTCAGTCGAAATTGCAAAAGAGGCTACATAAAAGAAACTGTTGAATATGATTGTTTTACAATGCAATTGTTCTGAATTAGTTTTTATTTCTATGATTTTTATATAAAAGGCACACATCTTTGGCATCTTCATCTGCACGTGATGATGCAGCTGGTAAATGTTTTCACTGTCAATGCTGCCACGATGAACACGTGATCAAAAAGATCTGTATTCAGCACAATTTCCAACACGTTTGCTCATTTTGAGAAGTGGATGGATTGAGCTTTTGGATTTACATGTATAACCACCTCACTTTGTTTTTTGTTTTTTCTAACTGAAAAAAATTGTGCATTAATTTGCTTGTAACTTCCCTTCTACGTCGATGGCATATAAATTGTTTTTACAGTTCATGGAATATGATTCAACTTGAAAATTCCCACCCAAAAAAACCCCCAAAACCCTGCCCTATACATGTGTCAACGACACTCTTGTTGGTTCTAAATGTTGCTAACTTAACCTTGGTAAGAACTATTGCCGATGAAAAAAAACAGGTTCAAGTATAGTCGGTAAGCATGCACATTTCTTAAACACTCATGTAGGCCTACCGGTACGTGTACACACCATTTGTTTATGGTGTAAATCGAGGATTCACCCACTGCGTATTTCGAGTGATCCAAAGTTATTAGGGTCGGGGATTAGTCTGGGAGACCATCGCAAGTCTTTGAACGTATTCGAAGTCCGACTCCTGATGCTCATGCGCGAAGACACTGTGGCTTGCCTTTGTGCACATTCAGGATTAAAAACGTCGTGCACAGTGCGTACACGCAGTGTCCCATCCGAAGGGAGGGGCTCTCAGAAGTGGTAAAAGCGCGCCCTCTTTAGTTAACACATGGATCCCATACATTTGTAACTTGCATACTGATGCAAAGATATGGGAAAGTATTAGCGCGCAGCTCTTTATGAACAATCTATGAACAGCAATTTCTGAAATAGTGTTTTTTTTAATGGGTACCTGGTTCCTGTACTACCCGTATAAATGCACACCCCTATGCACTCTAACATTTGACACAAATTTAGCTGAATAAAAAGTATTGGCTTACTACTGATGAAGTGCTGCATTTGGGCAAAAAACAGTCTTGTTGAGTCCTAGAACCATTTTAACTTAAATTAAAAGTACACTGAAATCACCAGAGAGGTGTTATTTTGTTTCTCCTTGAGAACAATTTATAGACTTAGGGAATTGTAAGGTCAGAAAATCAGTCTACATACATGTACATTACACTTGGGTGAAATGATTATAGCAATGTTACGTCGTCGAGTACAGATTATACACACCGAAGACAATCATGGAGCTCAGCCCACCAAACATTAGCATAGCTGCCAACTTTTCAAAATCCCAATTAGTAATCAACCCACGCGGTAATTTTCAACTGCTCGTTTTATCAAAAGCTTTACCAACATCGAGTACAGGTACATGGTTTACATGTACACATACATGTTCATACCCTTCTTGTTGTGAATAATAATGAACTGTAGGCCAAAAGATAATTTTTTTTAAAAATTTAAAAAAAAATATTTTTTTTAAAATTAATTTTGTTTTAATGTCTGTATTTGTTTGTTGAAGTCAAATAAATAATAACAACAATAACGTGTGCGCATATTTTTTTTAGATGCATGTCGAATGTGGAGTTTTGAGTTCGTATCATGTTTTTACACACAATGATTTAGGGCCACCGTATGCAACAGAAATATCCTGCCAACATACCTTGCAAACGCATGCTGATTTTTTTTTCTGTCCGTTGTGACAAACTCAAACTCTATTACCAATTATTCTAACCATACTCTTATTAAATTCCATGATTAAAATCTCGCACTGATGGGTCTCATTCGGGCAATAAGCGACTAAATGTGCTCACGATCGTCACTGAAAAGTACTCACATACAGTACACACAACCACACATCCACGAGATGCACACAAATGACACACCATTGAAAAATATTTTTAGTCTGGTCCTCAAGTACTCCACTGCGCACACTGCATTGATGTATATCAGGTGCTTGACTGCATTCTTATTAGACTTGTCACCAGTCCTTCCATTATCGCGACATTTCGCCAGAAGTTTTCGGTCCAAAACGATACTTTACAAGTATTTTTTTTTTCGTTAGGTAGAAAATGGGAAATTCGTAATGTTTTAGAGGCAAATCGTATTTTCGTAATTTAACAAACAATTCGTAATAATTACGAAAAAATCGTACTAGTTGGCAGCTATGCATTAGAGATGAATGCAGATAACTTGTTAACACTGTAAATTCAACCAGATGGTGGTGTGATTTATTATAGGCGATAGGTACTTTTTATAATATCTTAAATCACAAGTCAAATGTCGTATCAAATGTCAGTCAAAGGTGCTATCACAAGGGAAATATTTCTCAGTTAAAAAATCAATGAAATCAATACATTGGTATTGCAGTAATCTTACCTCTCTTTCTTCCCCTCTCTCTCTCGTCCTCCTCTCTTCTTCCTCCTTCTGGGAAAAAAAGTGATTTCATGTAAATACAAATGCCAAATGTTAAGTAACAGTCCAAACTAAGTGAAGTCACAAGTCAAATCTCAAGTCAATCAAAAGTCTGTCAAAATCTATTATAAAAAGTCAATCAAAAGTAGAATTACAGCTCAGATCAAAAGTAAGCCTTAAAAATCAAATCACAAGTCAGATGTCAAATCATAAGTCAGTCAGAAGTGATATCACAAGTGAAACACATTTTTAAAAATATCAGTGAAAGTAATACGTCAGATTTGGTTAATCGCACGTGGTCAATCACAAGACAATCACAGGTCAGTCAAATGTCAATTCAGAAGTCAATAGCAAGTCAGTCAAAAGTCAAATCAGAACTCATTCACAGTGTTGACTGATAGACAAACTTCCACCTTTTGTGTCAGGAAATAGTCAAATGTGCCAGCATAAGAACCAGCATTCTACATTTCTTCCCAAAACCATTGTAATATCCACTATATAATCGGCATTGCAATAATCTTACCGCTTGTCTCTTCTCTCTTTCTCTTTTTTCTTTCTGGAAAAAAGTGATTTCATGTAGAATGGGATGCCATATTATTTTGGTACTTATAACATTTCTTGTTTGGAATAGGGATTGCCCACTAACCTTCCCAAATTGTCCTGTCTCAAGTTTGTGTTGTATACGTTGTAACTCTTCCTTTTCAAATTGATTAGTCTAGGGGCTACACTTTGTTATATGGTTTGATTGCTTTGATACGCGATAAGCCCCCCAAAATAGTTTCTGCTGCTGATTACATGGCATTAGAAAAAAAGGTAGGTTAGGCCAAAAAAAAAAGTCTCTGGTTTCTGGTTTCTGGTATGCGCGTGTCGCCGTAGCCATGCGCGTCGGCAAAATGAAAAAGTTTTTTTTTCAATGAAAGATGATGTCTCAAGACTGCCAAACTCACTGGTTTGACTGGAATCCTGCTGCTGCACAATTTTAATGCGTTTTTAGATGGGGTTATGATCAAGAATAAGCTTATGTGGCCTCTCTGGACTCCCATATATTTGCACTAAGTCTAGTCGGGCACCATTTGTAGTCATCGGCCTACATTTTGAAGCAAAAAAAAATCAGGTAAAAAAAAAAAAAAAGCCGCGTCGCCGCACCACTTTTTGGGCAAGCTCCATACCAGAAACCGGAGACTTATTTTTTTTGGCTTTAAGAAAGGGAAAGTTATATTTGGCAAAACTTTTTTTGTGTACGATGATAAGGAGACGTCTGCATAAAATCAAGGGTAAAAGGCAGAAATGTATGGTTTTGGGTGAATCTTTCCCCTTTTTTCCATAAAAAAATTAAAGTAGATGCTGTCAGAATAGGGTAGGTAGGGAAACTGGAAGCATAACTTTTTTCCTTTTTTTTGTTTGGCCTTCTTAACCCTAAAAGGGGCGGGGGGGGGGGGGCGGAATCTGCCCCCACCTCGACTTTTTCCGTGATAGCCTTTAATAAATGTTTTTTCGCAACCGAACTTTTATGACTTTTTAGCCTCGAGCTTTGCGCATCTTTTGACACCAAAAACATAAAAATCGGACCAGGGGTTGTCGCTCAGTGAAAATTTTTCCCGCGCTATGCGCCGGAAAAACTTAATTTTCCCATATACGTCGTGTACACAGTCCGGAATTGCCATTCATACATATGAAGAACTAATTAGCCATAATTCCAAAACCCTTTGACCTTTGGTCATGAAATTTCTTGGGTATGTTCATGAAGAGTTGCTCCCTTTAGGGTTAAACCCGCCGCCGCAAGAGGGCCTTTCACGTCCAACCAATATCGACCAAGGACTTGTCAGTAGCAACGTCTAGGACATTTCAAAAAATCTACCCCCCCCCCCCCACCGAAAAATGAGGGAAACTATTGCACAAAAATCTTGCTGCATCTTTTATAATACTGGAAGAAATTTAAGAGTTTGTTTCAGAACTACTACAAAATGTTTTGAATTGTGCGCTGCTTATATCAGGCTGAACAGGTGCGCACATTACCCATCCAATAGGAATTGGCCTAGATGTTGTTCTGACGGGTTTGTGGGTGATATTGGTTGGTCTTGATAGTGCCCTTTTGTGGCGGCAGCTTATTGTGGCGGCGGGTTATTGCGTATCAAACCATAATAACGTCTAGCCCCTACACTACAAATTGATATACAAATCCGATGGTGGTGTGATTTATTATAGGTGAGAAGTGGTTTTTATAATGATCTCAAATCACAAGTCAAATGTCACATCAAGTGTTAGTCAAAAGTGATGTCACAAGGGAAATATATTTCAGAACAACTGAAATATCAGTGCAAGTAATACGTCAGATGTGGTTAAATATCAGACTAGCCCAAATGTTTGTCACACAGTGCTTCAATGGAAATTCCAAAATCACTCGGCAAACTTGTTTCTTTTGCTAATCTGTGGTTTGGAGGAGTTTCTTCAAGGAAAGATATAACCTGAAGACCAGATTCTAACCTGCTTACCTCTGCTTCCTTTTCTTTTCTCTTTACCTGTAAGAAAATGGCCGAAAATATGTTTTATTCCATATGATACTTTAACCCCAACTCCCTATGATTTACTAGGAACCATACCCATTCTGGCAAATTCCAACACCATATGAGAAACTGCACACATTTATTTCGGACTTGTTTTTCCCTATTCACACTAAACAAATCTCGGGTTGACGCAGGTTTGACGCAGGTTTGAAAACATGCATCGTTTCACACTGAGATTCATTTCGCTCTAGACCAGGGTTGAAATTCTTGCCAGGGTTCAAAAGAGTAGAAACTGAGCATGATAATCTTGATTTGCATTTGCACGAAACAAGAATGAAACGATGCGGGGTTGAAAGTGGGGTTGAAAAATCAAAAACTCAACCTGGGGTGGCACTGGGTTCACCCAGGGTTGAGTGCAACCCGGGTTGAGAGGCTCTAGTGTCAAAAGGGCTGGAGGTGTGCCAACCCAATGTAAAAGACTGTCAATGTAGGGGTACTGTACCCATCCTGACAGATTTTAACAAAACATGCCATTGGGATATGTGGGTTGGGTTCTGCTAATAATGAATTTTTTCAGATTTGTTTTCTTATTACTGCAATTTGTATCGTTATGAATTACCAGGATGTAATGCTACTTACTTCCCTCCTCCTCCTACAGTCCTCCTTTTTTTTCTTTCTCCTAACCTCATACGATTGCTTCTTTGTAAACATATCTTAGAAAAACATAAAACAATTGGTAAGTGAAACTGAGATGATCATTAAAATTTGTACCAGAATTATCATTTACATGACTGCACACTGCCAGTAACAGCAAGAAAATCCTGAGTCATGCAGTTTGCGTCAGAGTCACGAATCACCATAAGTGTGAGGTACATGTACTGCTGATACCTCACAGTGTAAATGTTTCCAATTTTTTTACTGCTTTTCTCTAATTTAGTGAACTTTGTGAACTAATCTAATGAAATTCCACTGTCTGGAGAAGATAATCTGGTACTGAACACTAAGCTGGGGTACATGTTCCAATACATCGATTTCCCAAATCAATGTATTAAGCCAGCCGCATGTGCTTTGTTTGTACATTACTTAATAGAGACATCTCTTGCTCAGGAGAGGATCGTCTTTAAAATAATTGTATTGTTTGGGGAAAAAAAAGATTTGTGGTAGTCAGGCAGGTCATACAAGTCTACTTATAGCTCCCATTTGAACGGTCCAGCGGTATTATCAAATTTCAGAAAAGGTGCGAGTCTCTTGAGCATGTTTAGTGAGCTCAACATAACCGCATATCAATAACCAGACTGATTCAAACAATATTAAAATAAGTGTGAATTTTTCAACTATAATTTTTTTAAATCCTTTTTGTTTTCTGTCTGAAGCATATGACTAGGACCTTAATTCAGTATCAGCTTTTAGGTTATACTGCTTTTGCTGTTAAGGGACAGAGTGTCACCATTCCAACAGTCCTGCCTTTTCCCCAAATTTTAGAATTTTTTTCGAGTAACCACAAAAGCAGAATGATTCAAAGAATGCTGAAATAATTATGAAAATAATGTTCAATTAGAAATGTTTGTATAGAATCATTTATATTTGCCTGAAGCGTACTATGCCTGGGCCTATTATTCAATTCAGTACCAGCTTGAAAAGGAACAGAGTGTCCTCATTTGAACAGTTATATATGCTTTAATTTCTTCCCAATTTTAGAACAGGTTATTAGATTCTCTTTAACATTCAGCTATTTGGTTTTCTACAACTGTTTTTGCTCATACATATACAGAGACTGGATTTAAAGGCATATACTGGCAAGTTTATGTGTTTCATTCCTACATTGAGCCTGCATTATTATTTTATTAATGAATTTCTTAGGTTAGATGGAATTTCGTTCCAGGAGTTGTATATGCGGTTAAAAAAAGTTTGCCTAAAAATGCCACATGTAGGTCTCTCTCAAATGACGTCACTTCTTACAGAATTAATATGAAATTTACTGTTAGTGAATGAGAGTCTAAAGCATCCTGTAAAATCATGGCACCTGGTAGGGCCTATACTGTCCTTTTCAAGAAAAGTGGTATTTTTTCAATTTCAAATGATGGTCCGCTGACCAGCGTTGGACAAAACTGGCTTTTTTTTCCCCAAATACTGGCCCCAATGGACCATATTGAGTTAGGCCAAAAAAAAAAAGAATATTCAGTTTCTGGTATGGAGCTTGCCCCAAAAGTGGTGTGGCGATGCGGCTTTCCGCCCCCCCCCCCCCCACTTTTTTGTACAACAAATGGTGCCCGACTATTCTGTGCAAAATAAATTGGAGCCCAGAGAGGCCTCATGAAGCTTATACTCGATCGTAACCCCATCTAAAAACATGTTAAAATTGTGCAGCAGCAGGATTATCCAGTCAAACCAGTGAGTTGGCAGTCTTGAGGCATTGTACAACACTTGTAAAAAAAATGTTGCCGACACGCATGGCAACGGCGACGCGCTCGCATACCAGAAACCAGAGCCTTTTTGGAGGCCTTAGTCCGCATTTGTTTGCACTCGATTACACACCTATGAACGAGTACAAGCCAGCTAGACTGGTTTCCTGACCTTACAATTCCCCAATGTCTATAAATTGCTCTGTTTCATCTTAAATTGAGTCAGGGAACCAGACTACGGGAAATTGATTGTTTTTCTTGGTTTTATAGCATCTACGAACCTAAAACGTTAAAAAAAGTCAGTGTAACAGTACCAACCCCTCAAATTCATCCATTTCTGAATTTTACAGCAAAAGCAAATGATGTATATTTCCCTGCATGAATACATTTTAATTTTAACACTGAACTATCTTAATTTGCTAAAATGCTACATGTAAATAAATTTCATGTAAAATTTGAAAATGTTGGATATTAAAATTTGTTAAACTACATGTATCTAAATAATGTTTTGAAAAGTTGAAAAATAATAAAAAGTGTATAACGGATGAGTGAAGTTTGCGTTTCCTTTTGTGTAGTG